ATTTTCACACCTAGTTGCAAAACTGTCAAAATCTCTGGTTGAATATCAGTACTGTATCAGCTGTATATCTTTGTGAAATGAAGTAAACTTAAAGTGCCTACTTTGAAGTTACAAACATCCAGCATCAGAATTCATTTCTGCCAACTCAGAGGTAAACTTGGGAAAACTTTAACAAACTTATGTGAACAAAATGTAGCTACAAAAAAAAAAAAAGTAAATATTAATCTGAAATATACAGCAATTTGCAGCATTATATTTCAACAAAATTTATGAAAATACCAAACAGCTAGTGAAAGAATGGAAAATTTTCAGTTATGATGTGAATCACTTTGAAGGTCATTTTGGAAGAACCCTTTTTAAGTGTCAGTGAATTATTAACGTTCAAGTCGTGATGATAATCAATAAATCAATTGGTGCAAAGTTTAAATATACACTATGTGGTTTTGGGACCTTTGTACTTTGTGCAGGAAAATGGACCTCAAGCAATCTTGGGAGTCAACATTCTCCGTTTGGAATGATGGAAAGAAAATATTTAATTATTTTTACAGTACACGTGTGTATGTATATGTGTAAGTCTATATGTATATGCATCATATATCAAGAGATTTCTGATATATGTATATATATATATTTTTGTATGTATATTTGTATGTATATACATGGAAAGATTACTTGCATTATAATAAAATTTGCAGTCAAGTCATTATGAAAAAATCATGCTCAATTCATTGCTAATTGAAATAAAAAGTATAATTACATTTGCTTTATGTTCATAATCACATTTGCAGTAACATGATCGAGACTATGAATCTTGCAAGAAAACCCTCAAATGAATAAAAACAAAATAGCCACCAGCTGCAACAAGAATTGGCAAACATTTTTATTAAAGGTAGAATTGTTAACTAGCACCTTTTATGGCATTTTGAGTTTCTCAAGTCAATTTTTATCCTGTTGGGTTATTTTGCTTTTTTGGAGAACCAAGGTACAATTTTGCCTCAAGTTCTACCTAGCAATAGGTACACACCATCCAATAAAACTTTGTGATGAAGTGACTTTTCTCCCAGGCTGGCATATGCACTGCATAGTTCAATAAGCATGGGGTGGTGGTGTTTAACAATGACTGTGGCTGAGTACAGTCAAATTCCTCAGGTCCTGACTACTAGCCTTGTCATGCATGGTACTTTAATAATGTCTGTCATATCAGGCTTTCAATTTGTGGAGAGATGTTTTCAAGAGTTTTAGTTCATTCCACTTCATTTAACATGCTACAGTCCTCGGGTTTTCACTTTCTCATTAGCTCTCTCTTGCAAACGAGCACATACCCTCAGATTAATCATTCACATCTTTGGAATGGCAATGGGTATAGGACTGTTGGCCTCCATGCCCTGGTTTCTATTCTCTAATGTTATCAGTGCTACTCTTTCATTCTCCTTATAAGCATTTTTCAAGTATCAGCTCTGGAGAAAGATCAACTCTCATTTGATTCCTTCTCTGTATACAGTAGAAACTGATTTTAAATTTAGTGAGGATGCGCAAGTGTTAAACACAATGTTGAGAAATTCTGTGAATAATCGTGTACTGCAGCTATTTTGTTTGGAAGCAATTCAGACAGCTTGCAGACAGAGGGCCCAGCCACCATCATTCTATACCCCTGTACCTCAATAGTTTTCATTACACACCATTATCTTCAATGACAAATAGTTAATATTCAAAATATAGAAACAAGCCAGTATTACACAAGTTTACTAGTCATACGAGCAGTAGTTCACATATTTTTAAGTTTCTTAAAGACTAAGGTAATTATTTAATATCTACAAATATTTAAGTAAATAAATACTACTCTGATTTCAAATTGAAACTATATGTACATTATCTTGGCCTTGTTCTTTGGCTTCAGCATTGTAGACACTGATGGCATTCCACCCTCTGATGCAAATCTGACTTCCATCGCGTACCAACTTTGATACCTGGTACTTCCTCAAGAGGAAAAGGTTCTTCAGTTTGTCCTAATGGTTACAGTCAGTAGCTGAATGTCTTGTAAAAAATGCTTTCAAGAGAATCACCGTAGTACTGTGCAACTACAATGAGCAAATGATCTGCATATACTGGTACTGTAGTATGAACTTCATTATATCACAAATATAATTTTACCATTAACAGCATTTGACTAAAACTAAGACTTCAATGATGTTCATTAGATAGTCCACTACATTTCCACATGACAGACCTCCAGATGGAAAAATCTTTACCTTTGGAAAAATATGAACTGCTGTAATTCTATTTTGTATTACATCTACAGACTTTCCAGTGATCCAAGATGACACCAAGGACTTCCAACATCATTCCATCATTACTGAATAAGTGCAGAGCGTTTATAATTATATATGGTGGCCATTTTGTTTTTAATTTGTTGCAGGGCTTTCTCATGACCCTTCACTATGGTTGTTCAACACAGATACCAAGCCACACTGCAGAAAAAATGTTTTAAACCAGCCACAGATGAACTACCGGAATATTTCTCAATATAAAACAGTTGAGATATCAATTAATGCGAGGTCAAAAATTTTAATGCTGAGCTGCAAGTTTTTATGTCTCAAGGTAACCAATATAAAAAAAAAAATTAGCAGAATTCTACACCTACCTACATAAAACCAGCTTACAAATATTTTGTGTGAAGATACTGTCCATCTAAATTTATTAATGATACTTTGTCGTCTCAAAACTTACTCTTAGAAACAAAGAATGTACGATATTCCTAAGGCAATGCAAATTAATTCAGTGTTATAGACACAAGAACTTATCAAAGAATTCTGTATGCTGATTTTACTATCACCCGAGCGACGTAGGTCACCAAAGGCTTGGCCACTACCCGAGTGATGCAGGTTGCCACAGGTTTGGCCGCCACCTGGGCATTACAGGTCGCCACAGGCAGATGGCAACACTTGTTTTAATAAACAAGAATAAGTGAAATGAGAACTGCCTCAGCAATCACTTCAAAAGATTATTAAAGCAAAAATTTGTCTAAATTTTACTGATTATATATATATTTCCCTACATGCTAATCTATTTACTGTATGTCCACATCGGTAGAACTAATCAAGGATTTGATATATAAGTATTTTTTAAATATTAACTACTATATTTAAATTTATTAAAACTAAAAAACCAGGCTAAAGAATATTTATAGAAGGTTCAAATGCTTTACCACAGCTGCCTGCATTATGAATGAGGTTTATTAGAGCTAAACTGATACTCCCAACAATCAAGGCAGAAGAATCTATATAGCAAATGTTTTAGCATACCCAAGGGACCCCTCCTTTAATCTTGTGTTGCATTTGTAAAGGTCATAACTATAGCCAGAACTTGGGAAAGAGGAATAATAAATCTGTATTTGCAGTGTCCTCTCCAACAGTGGTGGAATTGACCATACTTTTAATGGCAGACTATAACTACTCATATTTATCTGTCTAAAATTTTATATATATCCCAGAGAATATGCATAGTTAGTTATTAATTCACGTTTTGTCAAAATTTAAAGGCTCTAACGATACTGAAATATTGTGTGCAGTGTTAAAATCATATTTGAATTTTAAAACTTGCTCATAAAAACAATTGATACACAAAACATTTGTTGTCTCGTCCTTCATACACCTGGGCTCTATAGAGAACACTTTTCAATACAGTACACCGTTTAATCTCTGAAGAGACAAGAGGTAATAGTAGCATATTTTGCCTTGGTTGCCAATAGAACAAAAACCTTGGAGAATTACTGTAAAAATATATACATTACACAAAAATACTATATATTTGCTCTTTCCTAAAATAGTTGCTCACTGGACAAACTCTCAATCCACTGAACATCAGTATAATTTTTCAAAACATTGTGCAGCAATTTTTTCATTTCCCTTTCCATACTCACTAAATATTGTGCCTGCTTTTAAAAAGATAATACTGTATCCTAAATTTTGGAAGTAAATACAACCCTTTGGAAAGCCAGATGCAGCAGAAAGTTTGACTTCCAGTGGGGAAAAAAACTTGTCGGCCTTGTGTCTTTTTGGATTAAAACTAGATTTGCATATATGAAATACAGTACTGTAAAACTAAATACAAGTTTACCATTAAGAGTGTGGCTAATTCCACCAGTTCCACCACTGCAAATACAGCTTCGATTTTATCACACATAATAAAACAAGCTTTAATATAAATACTGTAATGTAATAAAAAATGGATGACCATAAATTTAAGTTTGAGAGGAGAAAATAATGCAACACTCTTATATAGATTTAAGTTATTAAAATTAAAACTATATGGCAATTGCATGCATAGGTTGAAAAATAATTGGCAGTATACCAAAGCTAATGGAAGAATTTCTTTAGAGAAGCCAATGTACAATGTACATTGCACATTGTACATTTACTGTACAATGAGGGGGTCAAATGGATGATTACACCCCACGTGTGTTGCTTTCCTCATGAAGTGTGACCTTTTCATTGGTCTTTCGCTAGTACTTATTTAAACAATATTTCTAAAGGTAACCAAGGCAATCTAAACTACTACTGTACCTAATTGAGCCAAGGTAATATATTTAATTCGGTTTTAGATAATTGAAAAATTCTAAATTCTGGGAAGTTTTAAGAATTATTATTAACAACTCCAAAGTTCTGACTAAATACTTCATTATTATGCAACTTGGCAGCCAAACTCTGCTGTGCAATAATTCCAAATTGGCATCCAAAAAGTGAGAAAATATTAAAACTCTACCTTTCAAAAATGAAGTAGACTGCATCTAGTACTAAACACTTAAAAAGACTTCAAACTCAAGTTTCATCCCCATACTAATTGGGGTGTCTAAAAAACTATTGCAGATATGATCACTGCACAATCCAGCCACTTAATACTATTAACCTCTCATCAGCCCGAGGTAAAGTAATATGCTGCCCCAGACCCCTAGCTCTTCACCTCGAGTCCTTACTAAATGCAGTGTCTTTTTAGGTACCTACCTTCATCAAGTGATTCTTCTCCATCCATTAGCTCATCATCTGAGCAGATGTTCAGTACATTTACCAGCATCTCCGTTACTGAAAAATATAAGGAAGATCATTTTATATGGCAGCAGCATATTTGCCCGTTATTAAACTTAAATTAGTTTGGTTTCAATAGCAGCCAACTGAAAGAATTCTCAGCTTTTAAGCTAAACCTTTTCTAAAAACAATATAAATTTGGAGAACAAAACTGTCACCCCTCCATATGCAACTGCAGCATACAAGATTTAGGAGAGCAGCAATTTAAAAGTGACTGGCAAAAGCAAAGGACCAGCCAAAGATGTTGCATGAACACACTGATAAAAACTCTAGTAAATGACATGCATTCAGGCTAAGGCAACCCATTCTCGCAAATTTAATAAGTCAATATTGACTTATTAAATATGTGCATAGGTGACATACTTAACATAATAGATACCCTTAAAAAGATTCATAGAAAACACCGACCTTACCTAACCTTGTTAGTATCTTAAGATAAGCATCTTATTGCTTCGTAATTACAATTATTACCTAACCTATAATAGGTATAGGTTAAGTAATAATTGTAATTACGAAGCAATAAGATGCTTATCTTAAGATACTAACAAGGTTAGGTAAGGTCGGTGTTTTCTATGAATCTTTTTAAGGGTATCTATTATGTTTAGTATATCACCTATGCACGTAGTTAATAAGTCAATATTGACTTTACGAATTTGCGAGAACGGGTTGGCTAAGGAGACCAGGGAACATCATGAAAAATGATAATGTAGTGCATCAGGAACTCAGAGTCAAGAAGGTATACAAAACGCAACCAGAGTGGATATCAATGGAGGGGAATGATAGGAGGATAAAAACAAAGGCGAGCAGCATCAGACACCAAGAAAGAAGTAAAATGATATTCGATGTGTCCCAGGCAATGGGACCAGACCACAATCAATCGTGGTTGTTCTAGGAAACCACGGGGGGTACTTTTGTAGTGGGTTAGCTAGCATCTTCGGCAAATCATTTAACCAATGCCACCATGGAAAATTTTGAAATGAGCAAATGTAATAATTTTCAAAAGAGGACAGGTATGAAGTACTAAAACACATAATAAATAACCAAGGAATAATTGATCGAGCATCTGCAAAGGATACAATTTCCAATAAAAAACGTGTAGAGGCAAATGATGCTTCATGCACGTGTTCGGAGAGGGGTCACCATGATACAGGAAAAAAAAGGTTGGGTTCGTAATTAGTGGTTGCGCAAGTTGTAGTTTTTTTCGGGGGGTAATAGCGAGCAGGTGACACGGTGGTTGATTGACTTGCCAATCTACCTTGAACCCCTACCTTATATTTTTCTTGAAAATTCCCATTTGCAATGAAACTTGTTGGGCCTAGAGGAAAGATCACAAGAATCTAGTGAAGGAATACAGCCCTGGTGGACCAAACTGGTTCCGACTTTAGCAGCAGCTTAAAGGCCTCTGATCATAAACAGTACCATAAAATGAATTTTTACCTAAAGGAATACCATATTTTATTTTCACCACTTTATACCTAACAAATGCACTAATTAAAACTACATTACCTGCCTTATTTTTAAATATATTATACCAAATCTTTATAATTTACATGTTACCTTTTTCCCCTACAAATGGTAGTGACCATGTGAAGACATCCATGAAGTTGGGTAGCCAGTAAGGGTGAGGTGAACAGTTGAATTGCCGGATATTCATTACGTTGTTCTCGTATTTCAATACAGCAGCCTAAAATTAAAGAAATTTACAATTGTATAAAACACTAAATACAATGTATAACAACATGTACATTTTAGCAAGCATTCAAACATTTAGCATGTACATACAGTACACACATTTCTTGGAAGCTGTGCGTGTGTGGGAGAGTGGTTATCATACTGGGCTAGCAACCCAATTACCCTGAAACCATCACTATAACAGCAGACCAAGTGTCACATTCACTTTAAAAATACTTCTGGTGCATAACCACATTCCACCGAGTGAGCAGATTTCTTTACCTCACAATCAATAATCTCTTGCAAACTTCTACTTTCCAATTTACTGCTCTGCTTGCCTGTCTTGGATAGGAAACTAAACATTGTATACTAAGCACAATTTAAATTGGAAAATCAGTTATAATGCAGATTAAAAAAGTAGGTATATACTCCCTAACCTTGTTGTTGTACACATCCAGGTAGTTAGGAGCAGAGAATATTGTGATAAGAGAGGGAAATCCTGTCGTTTGGCTCTTGCGATACATACGATACCTGCAAAATAAATATTACATTACTGTACTTGTTAATGTTATTGAAAGCTTGGTATACATTACATCTATCAGGGGGGGGTTTCATAGTACAGTAATGAACTGTAAAGCATCAAGGTTTTATCATTTTTTTTTTTAACAAACAAATTATTGGATGATCCCATGGCTTTGTCAACTTTGATAACGCACATCTATATACCTGTACACAATAACCACAAACCCCAACCCATTTCATTCGGCTTTCCTTCTGCTCTTCTGACTACAATGTGGATGGCTTTACAAGATCTAGGTCTCCACCCACTTTTAATTTTCTTTTGTATTGTGTTTTCACAACATTCTTTAAATTATTAATGAACGCTGATATATTATCAATATGAGTATTGATCACACTCCAAGCATAACGAGAGTGCGTGTGCACAAAGGTTTGCACAGGAAATACACAAGTTTATATATACAGTAATATATACAGTAATAAATTTTTAATCCCCTCTTGTATTATTTATAACTGAAGGTAACGAGTCATGCTTGTGGTGTTCTTCCTTGTGTATACGAGTTTTAAAAATTCTTGGTGGCTCGAGTGCATGCATGGAACTGCCAGTTCTGTTTCATACCAGACATCGGCCACTCTACTATCAAATACATTTTTATTATCCTTTCTATACTTCATATGATCTCTAGTTGTGTTTATGGGACCATAAATGCTTCCTAGCATTTTCACAAATATTCTTTTGCAAACTTCTGAGATTATTATTCTTCCATTTTATTCCAACCTCAAATTTTGAAATGGTTATAATCTTTCATCTTTCCTTGTACTGTAGCTCATATTTCTTAGGACTGGGATATATTTTGTTGCATGCCTTTGAACTTTTCCTAATCAAAGTACAGTACATTTAAGGTTCAGGAACTGTATCATAGCTGTATTCTGTGCACAGATTAAAGTCTCATGCGTGTTTAAAATAATTTTATGTCTCATCATCTATGCTCTTTAAGGTTATTTTACCAATTATCAAAGGAGGTAGGTATGATCACCTTCACTCATGATTACACCTAGCTCCTTTGATGGTTCCCTCTCCTCCCCCGCCCCCCCCCCCATTAACAGTACTTGTGTATCCCTTTTAGGTTAATATTGAAAGTGTGTAATTACCCAAGCATAGTCGCAAGTTGAGAGCTACGCTCGTGGTGTCCTGTCTTCCCAGTACTCTGTCATACTTAAGTTTCCAGAGCCGTTCAGTAGCACATCTGTTCCCCTTTTCTAATCTGTTTATGTAATTCTTAAGATATGGGCAGCACACCACTGCTGCATATTCCAATTGATTTAAAAATATTGGGCACATGTATGAATGTTCAGAATGTAAATATAATGCATGCACTTCATATAGTGCTGTTTAGTACTACTGTATATATTAAGTATAAAACTTGCACACATTTAGTGAAAAACATTTTTTCACGAGTGTCAAGAATAATTTTCACAAAGGCAATTTGTAAAAAATCTAGAGATGTACAACAAATGATAGCTTCATACAAGGACACTACAGTGCTTACCTTCTATATAAACAGTACAAGAGGTACTGCACTTTGAAAATTATGCTAATCTGTATAGAAAATTTTCTGGTGCAATTGTTACTAAAACAACTGTGGCATAAAATTGTCACGTACGAGTACGTGATCATCCACACAGTATATATATCTTACCCTGCATCTTGAGCTTCGTGGGCTCTAATTATGGACAGAAGATTATTGTGTTGTAAGAAGTCACAGCAAGCTGCATAGCTGAGAAAAAATCAGATATTAAAAAAAGCGACAACTACATAAACATGAAATTAATAAGTCAGAGTTCACATAATATAAAAATTATATGATTCATGATGCATTGTTTTTTATTGCTTTCTGTAATGCAATGATTAGTCTACACATATTTCATGTGAAATTAATGTGAAATGGAATTACATTTAACCTTCAACATTCCACAATTACATTTAAGCTTCATGTTATTCCTCAAACAATACTGAATAACACATTTTTTCAATATAACATATATTCTTTACAGTAGAACATTCTTTTAGAAAGCTAACACTGCCAAGCCTGAAAAAATACAAAGACAAAATGAGTATTGTACACATCCAGTAATTCTAATTCTAAGTATCTAGGATACTTTAGTATCTAAGAATATATCCATGTATATATTCTAAGACCCAGTTATGCCCTTAATATAAAACTTGCAATTATCTCAAACTTTACCTGTAAAAATATGAACAACCTCGAACAGAGTTATGGGAGAAATGTTCTGCATTTTTCTCGTTACCAAAATCTTCTAACGGGTCAGACCAGAGTATGTCGCACATAGGACCAAATGCAGGTGGCTCTTTGAACCGGTCCAGCTGCAATGAAACATTTTTGCTAAATCATTACATGAAACAAGATTAAGATATCAGACTTTAAATATCTACTAAAAAACAAAAAAGGGGGCACTAAAGCCAAGGACATCACACAAGAAGTACAAACAGCACACACATTATATACATCAAAAAGATTACAGTGTTACAACATTGCAACAATTATATACCACCTTACATCACTATGTTATGTGTCAAGCTTATGCACCAACTCTAAATGGATTACTTAAAGAGTGGAAAATAATAATTATATTTTAACCATGTCTTTGGCATTATTATTATATATATATATAATAATATATATATATATATATATATATATATATATATATATATATATATATATATATATATATATATATAATAATAATAATAAATAATAAATAATAAATAATAAATAATAAATAATAAATAATAAATAATAAATAATAAATAATAAATAATAAATAATAAATAATAAATAATAAATAATAAATAATAAATAATAATAATAATAATAATAATAATAATAATTATATATATATATATATATATATATTTTTTTTTTTTTTTTTTGCTTACTGACCTTGTATACAAACTTTCATTACAAGAAACTTTGGAACCATATACTGTATCATCAAACTTTTTATTTAAAACGAATAGTAAATTACTGTATACTGTGATTAAATGCTTAATACAAGCAACAATAACAAAGAAAGAATTACTGAACATAAAAGGTACAGTTATTAAGCAGCCTCAAAAATATTTACGACATACAAGTAATGTTTTAAAACACTTCATAAAATTAAGTTCGTAATTTTTTAAGCTAACAACTTTATGGTCCCCAATTCTAGGAAATGCATTCAGAGTTCAGTTTAAAAGTTCAAAATTAATTAAGTGTACATGTTAGTATCACGAAACCACCACACTTCAACAAGCTAAACAGATTTAAATTCATTTGAAGATATTCTACATACATGTGACGAGCCCAGGAAATTTTTAAAATTTGACGAGCCCAGGAAAATTTACAAAATAACACGAGGCAAATGAACAAAGAATATAAATGATGTAAATGTTAGTAAAGATTCCATAACAGGTGCTATTGCCTCAAGTACTGGATTAAAATCCTCAACCGCATTAAACACTTTGGGCACAGTAGTCCATTCCCTTGTTAAGTAATTGCTGTTCCCAAGAAAAATATTTGGGTTAGACTTTAAAATTACAAGTACAAAATGGCTCTTCAATTGCAAATAAACTTGGATTAAAAGTATTCCTTACATAGCCCTCAGTGCATGTTTAAATACCACAATGTGGGAGACTGTGTTACATTAATAAAGGGTAATTTATTAAGAAACTTGTGGTACAAAATGCGAGTGATGAAAAAAAGGTCAAGGCTGAAAAAATAATTGGGGAAGAAGTAAGGTGCAGTAAGTCAAGATTAGTGGAAGCAGGGCACAAGGTGCACATGTGGGTGGAAGCAAGGCACAGGGTGCACATGTGGGTGGAAGCAGGGCACAGGGTGCACATGTGGGTGGAAGCAAGGCACAGGGTGCACATGTGGGTGGAAGCAGGGCACAAGGTGCACATGTGGGTGGAAGCAAGGCACAAGGTGCACATGTGGGTGGAAGCAGGGCACAAGGTGCACATGTGGGTGGAAGCAGGGCACAAGGTGCACATGTGGGTGGAAGCAGGGCACAAGGTGCACATGTGGGTGGAAGCAGGGCACAGGGTGCACATGTGGGTGGAAGCAAGGCACAGGGTGCACATGTGGGTGGAAGCAGGGCACAAGGTACTGTGCTTGCTCCAGTACTTTTCCTCATCCTCATATCGGACATAGACAAGAACACAACCTATAGCACTGTATCATCCTTTGCAGATGACACTAGGATCTTCATGAGAGTAGGCAACATAGAGGACACGGCGAACCTCCAGTCAGATGTAGATCAGGTCTTTCTATGGGCTACAGAAAATAATATGGTGTTTAACGAAGATAAGTTCCAGCTCATGCGCTATGGAAAAAATGAAAATATAAAAACGGAAACCACGTACAAAACTCAGGCAAATCATAACATAGAACGAAAAGGCAATGTAAAGGATCTGGGTGTACTCATGTCGGAAGACCTTACCTTTAAAGAACACAATAAAGTAGCCGTCACAACTGCAAGAAAAATGACAGGTTGGATGACAAGAACTTTTCACACTAGAGATGCTATACCAATGATGATACTTTTCAAAACGCTTGTGCTCTCTAGAGTGGAGTACTGCTGCACAATGACAGCACCTTTCAAAGCTGGAGAAATTGCTGACCTGGAGAGCGTGCAGAGATTCTTTACTGCTAGAATCCACTCGGTAAAACATCTAAACTATTGGGACCGACTAAAGAGCCTAAAACTGTACTCCCTTGAGCGCAGGCGGGAGAGATACATAATAATTTACACGTGGAAAATATTAGAGGGGCTGGTCCCAAACCTGCACACAGAAATAACATCACATGAGACCAGAAGACATGGCAGGATGTGCAGAATACCCCCGTTGAAAAACAGAGGTGCAACTGGTACTCTGAGAGAGAACTATCAACATCAGAGGTCCGAGACTGTTCAACACGCTTCCACTACACATAAGGGGCATAACTGGCCGACCCCTCACAGTGTTCAAGAGAGAACTGGATAAGCACCTCCAAAGGATACCTGATCAACCAGGCTGTGACTCATACGTCAGGCTGCGAGCAGCTGCGTCCAACAGCCTGGTTGATCAGTCCGGCAACCAGGAGGCCTGGTCGACGACCGGGCCGCGGGGACGCTAAGCCCTGGAAGCACCTCAAGGTAACCTCAAGGTTAGGTGCAGAGGTGGGTGGAAGCAGGGCACAAGGTGCAGAGGTGGGTGGAAGCAGGGCACAAGGTGCAGAGGTGGGTGGAAGCAGGGCACAAGGTGCAGAGGTGGGTGGAAGCAGGGCACAAGGTGCAGAGGTGGGTGGCAGCAGGGCACAAGGTGCAGAGGTGGGTGGCAGCAGGGCACAAGGTGCAGAGGTGGGTGGCAGCAGGGCACAAGGTGCAGAGGTGGGTGGCAGCAGGGCACAAGGTGCAGAGGTGGGTGGCAGCAGGGCACAAGGTGCAGAGGTGGGTGGAAGCAGGGCACAAGGTGCAGAGGTGGGTGGCAGCAGGGCACAAGGTGCAGAGGTGGGTGGCAGCAGGGCACAAGGTGCAGAGGTGGGTGGCAGCAGGGCACAAGGTGCAGAGGTGGGTGGCAGCAGGGCACAAGGTGCAGAGGTGGGTGGCAGCAGGGCACAAGGTGCAGAGGTGGGTGGCAGCAGGGCACAAGGTGCAGAGGTGGGTGGAAGCAGGGCACAAGGTGCAGAGGTGGGTGGAAGCAGGGCACAAGGTGCAGAGGTGGGTGGAAGCAGGGCACAAGGTGCAGAGGTGGGTGGAAGCAGGGCACAAGGTGCAGAGGTGGGTGGAAGCAGGGCACAAGGTGCAGAGGTGGGTGGAAGCAGGGCACAAGGTGCAGAGGTGGGTGGAAGCAGGGCACAAGGTGCAGAGGTGGGTGGAAGCAGGGCACAAGGTGCAGAGGTGGGTGGAAGCAGGGCACAAGGTGCAGAGGTGGGTGGAAGCAGGGCACAAGGTGCAGAGGTGGGTGGAAGCAGGGCACAAGGTGCAGAGGTGGGTGGAAGCAGGGCACAAGGTGCAGAGGTGGGTGGAAGCAGGGCACAAGGTGCAGAGGTGGGTGGAAGCAGGGCACAAGGTGCAGAGGTGGGTGGAAGCAGGGCACAAGGTGCAGAGGTGGGTGGAAGGGTTTGAAAGGGTTGTATGGTAAAGAGAACGATGGCATTTTTTAATGACTGATGGTTGAGTGGCTTTTCGGACAGTAGCCCAACGACCATTCATTCTTTCATCTACCGCCCATCCATTGACAAGAATACACGATGCCTGCTGACATTGCGGACTTTAAATGTTCCCAGTCTGCATTCCTTGTTTTGCCCGTGTTGGCAAAGTCGAGTGAATAGATCAGTTGTTAAACAGACAGGAGCAGCATCAGCAGAAGTAGCAGGAGCAGTAGGTCGGGCAAGAGCTTTTGAGTGTGCTGGGAGCGGATTGATCCTGAGCGTTGCCAGGGTAACCATGGTGCCCGCGCCGCCGCCGCCGCCCGTGCTTCTCCTCCATTCGCCTCACCACCAGTTGCTGCAGTGCTGCTGTCCTCGCCCTCTCCTTGCCCAAACCCCGCCACCAGTCGCTGCAGTGCTGCTGCCCTTGCCCTCTCCTTGCCCAAACCCCGCCACCAGTCGCTGCAGTGCTGCTGCCCTTGCCCTCTCCTTGCCCAAACCCCGCCACCAGTCGCTGCAGTGCTGCTGCCCTCGCCCTCTCCTTGCCCAAACCCCGCCACCAGTCGCTGCAGTGCTGCTGCCCTTGCCCTCTCCTTGCCCAAACCCCGCCACCAGTCGCTGCAGTGCTGCTGCCCTTGGCCTCTCCTTGCCCAAACCCCGCCACCAGTCGCTGCAGTGCTGCTGCCCTCGCCCTCTCCTTGCCCAAACCCCGCCACCAGTCGCTGCAGTGCTGCTGCCCTTGCCCTCTCCTTGCCCAAACCCCGCCACCAGTTGCTGCAGTGCTGCTGCCCTCGCCCTCTCCTTGCCCAAACCCCGCCACCAGTCGCTGCAGTGCTGCTGCCCTTGCCCTCTCCTTGCCCAAACCCCGCCACCAGTTGCTGCAGTGCTGCTGCCCTCGCCCTCTCCTTGCCCAAACCCCGCCACCAGTCGCTGCAGTGCTGCTGCCCTTGCCCTCTCCTTGCCCAATCCCCGCCACCAGTCGCTGCAGTGCTGCTGCCCTCGCCCTCTCCTTGCCCAAACCCCGCCACCAGTCGCTGCAGTGCTGCTGCCCTTGGCCTCTCCTTGCCCAAACCCCGCCACCAGTCGCTGCAGTGCTGCTGCCCTCGCCCTCTCCTTGCCCAAACCCCGCCACCAGTCGCTGCAGTGCTGCTGCCCTTGCCCTCTCCTTGCCCAAACCCCGCCATCAGTTGCTGCAGTGCTGCTGCCCTCGCCCTCTCCTTGCCCAAACCCCGCCACCAGTCGCTGCAGTGCTGCTGCCCTTGCCCTCTCCTTGCCCAAACCCCGCCACCAGTTGCTGCAGTGCTGCTGCCCTCGCCCTCTCCTTGCCCAAACCCCGCCACCAGTCGCTGCAGTGCTGCTGCCCTTGCCCTCTCCTTGCCCAATCCCCGCCACCAGTCGCTGCAGTGCTGCTGCCCTCGCCCTCTCCTTGCCCAAACCCCGCCACCAGTCGCTGCAGTGCTGCTGCCCTCGCCCTCTCCTAGCCCAAACCCCGCCACCAGTTGCTGCAGTGCTGCTGCCCTTGCCCTCTCCTTGCCCAAACGTCGCCACCAGTTGCTGCAGTGCTGCTGCCCTTGCCCTCTCCTTGCCCAAACCTCGCCACCAGTCGCTGCAGTGCTGCTGCCCTTGCCCTCTCCTTGCCCAAACCTCGCCACCAGTCGCTGCAGTGCTGCTGCCCTTGCCCTCTCCTTGCCCAAACCTCGCCACCAGTCGCTGCAGTGCTGCTGCCCTTGCCCTCTCCTTGCCCAAACCTCGCCACCAGTCGCTGCAGTGCTGCTGCCCTTGCCCTCTCCTTGCCCAAACCTCGCCACCAGTCGCTGCAGTGCTGCTGCCCTTGCTCTCTCCTTGCCCAAACCTCGCCACCAGTCGCTGCAATGCTGCTGCCCTTGCCCTCTCCTTGCCATCAGTTGCTGCAGTGCTGCTGCCCTTGCCCTCTCCTTGCCCAAACCTCGCCACCAGTCGCTGCGAGTGCTGCTACCCTTGCCCTCTCCTTGCCAAAACCCCGCCACCAGTCGCTGCAATGCTGCTGCCCTTGCCCTCTCCTTGCCCAAACCTCGCCATCAGTTGCTGCAGTGCTGCTGCCCGCGTCTAGCCTCATCCACGCCTTGTCCCTTGATGTCCATTTCAACAGTGTAAAGGGAACCAGAACGGCTCACAGTAAGCCGAAGTCAGTCACTGCCACCAGCCCGGTCCCCGATGTACCTAAATGTGCCTCGATGCTCTTCTAATGTGTTCCATGCCTTGTTCCTAAAATTGTATTTGCACTTGGGGCATAGCCACTCAAATCTTAGACGTCCCAAGGAGTCTATACGTCACTAGTGCTGCGTCCTCGATGTATGTGCGCTACTCGCTTTATCAAGTTTTACTGATTTTAATATGTTCTTGGTTTTGGTTTATTATTATTATTATTATTATTATTATTATTATAGTATTTTTAACTATTTATAAATAACTTTATATCAGGGTCGGGTAAGGTGTGTGGGCACATGACTGTTGCTCGTGTTCTTAGCTTCTGCCTCTGTCCTTAAAGATATAACACCTTGGTCTACCATCACCTAGTCAGCCTGGCCATCACCTAAGCCGCCGCTGCCCGGCAAAGGGACCCAGCACACAACCTCTCCACCAGTCCAGCACATCATCTGGTCATCCACCTACCATCGCTACCTCCACCCGTCATTACCTGTCGCCCCAGCATCCAACTATCACCTTTACATCTCCCGCACTCCTCTTTCCCCCATAATCCCTCTCCCCCACAATCTCCACCTCTCCCGCAACTCCAAAATGCTTTGCAGGAAAGAAGAACGTGCTGAGCGCTTATATTCTCATCTTTACACACATTGGATTTATTCATTTTAAACAATTTAATACCGAGGTAAAATTAACATTTTGCATTTTTTGTTATCATACCTGTTTAAGTATTTTGTACAACAGCTTATGATAGGAATCCAACATATCAATTAATCCAGAAAGGCTGTCACACCCCCTTATCACTCACTCACTCACTGGATACACTCACTGGATATACTCACTCACTGGATACACTCACTCACTGGATACACTACTCTGTGTATCACATCCCGTCTATTACGTCCAGGCTCTGCTAATGCTCCAATGTAACATTGCTTGTTCATACTACTGATATACAATTTACACCTCCCCCCCCCCTTCACCCCAACACACACCTCAACCCTCCCACTTGCAAGCCACGCCATTAAGGCCAAGACGACGACAACCCCTCAAGATACACGACTAAGTACTGTATCCAAGACGAACCTCCAGACCTGGTATACTAATGTATGTTTAGTCACATAGCGAATGAAATACTGAATAAAAAGAACAAATATATGCCTTAAGTATGCAGCTCGGGCTTGTAGACGCTACCTAAAGAAGAACAAGAAAGGTCACACACATCAAGATCTCTCTCCAGGAAGTGAGGAAACAATTACACCATCCCAGTAATATGATTCAAGAGTGACGTTGATTGTACGTTACTCTTGGATATTGTGCTCACTAGGTAGAGGAAGAGATCTCTAGGCCTCACCACGGAGGAAAACAGTAAGAGGGGGAGATATAATATTTAAGGCAGAGAGGAGAGGAAGTAAAGAGTGGACCAATAAGTAAATGTTAAAAATGAGAAATGTTAAGACGAGGGGTGACGGGTGTAAGCTGGAGATGCTGAAGTGATAGGAATCACTTCTAGATGTCTAGAGAAACTTCTCTAGTGTACTACTTCCCACAAGGTGCACCGAATTACGCAAAGAGGTTGTCGAGGAGAAGTTTAACAAGCCAAAGGAACTTCAATACGAAACACGACGAGAAACCATGATAAAAAACCAATTGCATTAACTGACCAGAGGCAAGAAAGGAAGGGCCAGGAAGCTATACACACACTATTTCAGACCATCCTCCGCAAAAAGGTACTGTACTTACAGCAACAAACGCTAAGCCCCGGAATCATGGCCAGGTTGGAGACGAGACTTACCTTTCTGATGTCGTCGAGTGTGTGTAGCTCTGGGGAGAGGCCGCCGTGGACACACAGGAACTGGTGGTTCATGAGGGCAGCGAGCGGCAAGCAGTCAAACGCTTCCATGCACGCGTCGTACACTCGCTCACTGTATTTGATCTTACCTGTAAACCCAAAACACCGTATTAACAAGTTACATAAAACAGAACAAGCGAACGAGCGCAGGGGGTCAGGGGCTGTACCTGGATGATTTCCTGGGAGTTCTACTCCCCAAATCCGGCCCGGGTCCAAGCCTATCTCGTGAGAGCTTGGTACGGGGAGATGAGAGAGGGAAATGAGGAAAAAGTTAACATATTTCGAGTGATTTTTTAGGTTTGACTTTTGCCAGAAACTGGAACGGGTAAATGGGATGATTACTGACTTATGAGAAAACATTCAGGATCACTTTACACGGGTGAAAAGATAGCCAAGGTCACAATAAACCAGTACGGAGAGTGTTAAGTCCATTATAGTGCGCTGCATAGATGGTTGAAACCTACCTACATGGTTTGGGGGGTCACTGCCTTTTGACCCGACCTCTGTTTGGCCTTCCTGGTTAGATATCTGTTGGTGACAGCACCACAAATGATCCAGCTCACTACACACTGCTACCTAGACTAGCCAGCTCACTACACACTGCTACCTAGACTAGCCAGCTCACTACATACTGCTACCTAGACTAGCCAGCTCACTACATACTGCTACCTAGACTAGCCAGCTCACTACATACTGCTACCTAGACTAGCCAGCTCACTACACACTGCTACCTAGACTATCCAGCTCACTACACACTGCTACTTAAATTATTTAGTTCAACTGGCATACAATCTTGCAATTCACACTTTAAAGTTTCTGGATAATTAGTATGACTTGTGACCATCGCTGCTCATAACTAAACCGTTGCAACACAATCACCAACAAGGCTACATTAACACAAGCTTTAGCAGGCGTCATACTCCCAGGTGTGATGTGTGAAAACACACCAACTCGAGTCCCCCAGTACTTACATTCTTGTTTAAATGTGAAGTATTCTGTTAAATGCCTACACTCGTGGTTTCCTCTTAATAGAAATAAGGTGTTGGGGTAGCATATCTTAAGCGCCCATAGATACAGAACACACTGAAAATAGAGAAGAAAAAACAGTTGAATTACTTTATCTGATACATGTACATACAACATTTCACTTAAAAATATATAAATAATTGGTTATAATGCATTTATTTCCAATCATTTATTCCACAATGCTATCAGTTGAGTAGGTTACATGTTGTTGTTGTTGTTATAGATTAAGCTACTCGGAACAAGTTCCAAGTAGCACGGGCTATGGTGAGCCCCATAACTTACCTGGCACAGGAGCGGTGCCCTGAAGTTACGTGTATCGTGCACACCCCACCGCGGCGCCCCAGAGGGCAGACACACACACACTTTCCTGCAGTTACTCCCACATTTGCACACCATCTTACTGCATCATATATAAGTATATCGTGGCTTAAGTCCACCCCCACAAGCCTCGCTGGGCAAGTGAAACCTTTACTTCATCATCGTCAGCCTTGGAGTTCAATGCCACACTGATATACAACACATTCACCCGAGAACACTCTTACTGTATCATTTCCAACACATGGCAGATACGCATCGGTATTTGTGTATCAGTCACTTTATAATACAGTTTCTTAATAATACAGTACTGGTACGCCGAGCCAATATCTAACTCGTCAAATTCAAAGTGAGCAATGAAGATCAGCACGCCAAGAAATAATCTGAGAATTCTACAACTCAAATTTATCTTCCGTATTCAACACTATTCAATTTGCAAAAAATGCATAATTCAGTTTCTGACTTAGTTGAAATGCTATCAAGGATCTCCATACAGTGAACTGATTTTTGTTTATTTAAATCTGTTGATGGTTGAAAACCTGTACCAGAGCATCCTGGATTGTACCTGGATGGGGTTCTTAGAGTTGTTCTACTCCCTAAGCCCGGCTCGATGCCAGGATTCACTTGTGAGAGCTTGGTCCACCAGGCTGTTGCTTGGAGCGGCCCGCAGGCCCACATTTACCTGGTTGATGGGGTTCTGAGAGTTCTTCTACTCCCCAAGCCCGGCCCGCTGCCAGGATTCACTTGTGAGAGCTTGGTCCACCAGCCTGCAGCTTGGTTCACTGATGACATTATCTAAATTATATATTTTCAGCCATACTGTTATTTACAGGCCACGAGACCGCCGTCCGTATTTCTTCTGGCTTATAGTTAAGATAGTTCATCAGAAGCCAAACTTGCAAACACGAACCTGAAGCAAGTATGCTTGTTCAAAGACCATGAATGGTGTAGAATGTGTTCCAACACTGAAAGTTGCATATGCGCTTCAACTTTGCCTCTGGGTTAACATAGTCCACACACACACACACACACACACACACACACACACACACACACACACACACACACACACACACACACACACACACACTTCAATAGACTTAAGTCTACCCAACTACAAGTAGTCTAACACTACACCCACGTCTAGAATGTTGTTGTATGATGTATTTACTTATTGATGATTAAACAACCAACAAATGACTCGTTTCCAAAACTTTAATTTTGGACAGATGACAGGTCCGGCGGAGCGCCTCGCCTGGCCTCCATCATTGAAATAAGTTTATTGAGGTAAAATACAGACAAAGGGATGAGGTAGCTCAAGCTATTCTCACCCCCGTTCAGTACATCGTGTTAATACATACATAGACACACAGCGTCCATCATTAGACGTCGTTATCATTAGACTTCCCCCAGGGACTCGCCAAGGGTTGTCCAAGTTTGAGATGAATGCTCAGTTTTCCAGGTTTCTGGGAAGTGTGGTTAAGGGTCCGCGGAAACGTTGTCCGCACACTGAACACACACGCACACATATTTCAACGGAAGAAGTTTGTTCAATTAGCGTCAACAAGTGGGAAGGCGCGTCACATTTTTAACAGAATCGACTGAACTGTCAAAATTGGAGCAAGTAAAAATTAAAGCATAGTAATGTCGACTTTTGCGAGCATCAAACAACTACGGCATTATAGTACGTTCCTCCATCTTGTCTATTTTAATTCAAGAAATATAGTGCTATAGGCAGATGATGAGTCACAATAACGCGGCTGAAATATGTTTACCAGACCACACTCGAAGGTGAAGGGACGACGACGTTTCGGTCCGTCCTGGACCATTCTCAAGTCGATTGTGAACGTCTACAGTCTCAAGTCCACATTGCGGTGCTTTATAGTTCACTTAAGAACTCTCCAATTTTGACAGTTTGGTCTCTTGTGTTAAAAATGAGGCATATACCCTCCTCCTCATTTACGCTAATTAAACTGCTTCTACAGAAGATTGTGTTTATGGATTGGACTGTGTATAGCGACGGTCTCGCTTCCTGCAGGTCGGCGTCCAATCCCCGACCGTCCAAGCGGTTGGCCACCATTCCTTTTCCCCCGTCCCAACCCAAATCCTTATCCTGTCCCCCCCCCCCCCTCCCTTCCCAGTGCTATATAGTCGTAATGACTTGGCGCTTTCCCCCCTAATAATTCCCTCCCTTCCCTCTGGCACCAACGTCACCAGCACTTGTGCTACTGAGTGCACTACTGCACACCATAAGCACACGGCCCCTGCAACCCATCTCCGGCTGGTGGCTGACGCTCAACAATTTACCACAAGGTATTGAATTACTAAATTAGTCTCCGTGGTGTAGTGGCAAGACACTCGCCTGGCGTTCCGCGAGCGCTTTGTCATGGGTTCGTATCCTGGCCGGGGAGGATTTACTGGGCGCAATTCCTTAACTGTAGCCTCTGTTTAACTCAACAGTAAAATGTGTACTTGGTTGTAACAACGATTCTTCGCGGCAGGGGATCGTATTCCAGGGACCTGCCCGAAACGCTACGCGTACTAGTGGCTCTACAAGAATGTAACAACTCTTGTATATATCTTAAAAAAAAAAATCTCGCGCTATTTTTGTAAAAGTACAGGTCCAGCCCTCTCCTCCCTCAGACACTTGTGTTAGTAACTAGCCAGTTTGTTAAAGTGCTCAGGAGCTAAACGGCCCACGATTTAACATGTTGAAAACATGTATTGTAAGATCAGCGTCCTTTCTACCAAGATGCGACAAGGAGAGAGTGGTGGGAAGCATCTTGATAACTCTCTCACACTGCAAATGGAGACATTTGTAGAGAAGTTGGTAATGGGTTCACCGCGCAACATGGAACCGTAGACCAAGGAACAGGAACAACTGGGTGTTGATACCAAGCAGCAAGGTGCTTGGTACCCCCCACGCGTCAGACAAGCAACATACACGCTACAACAACAGTATGGACATGTCCAAGTGGATACAACGGAAAATAATAGTGGTACCAATGAACGGTCATCTTTCCTAAGTTGACTGAGGCAAAGTCCAAAGCAGAGTCTAAGGGGGGAATAGCCATTTTCTATACATTACGAGATATAAACAATGGGAAATCTTCACTCCTCGGAGACAAAAACAGTTACATTGTTCTAGTGTCAATGGTCTGGTTCCCACAGCCGGGGAGTGAAAGTCTATTTAGACTTGCCGAAAGTCTCTCAAGGCCAACTGCTGACCTTCCCGTGATGCAACTCCCAACAGCAATTACCTCTAGGGAACTCTACTGCCAAGTGAACAGTTGCATCAGGTGAAAGCAAACTATACCCAAACGTTTGTGCTAACACGTGACTCGAACCCGGCATTCAGTTGTGCTGCGACAGCGTCGACTACTGCGCTACAGATAATGACTGGATGCCATCGTAGGTATGTGCTGCCAAGGAGGGGGGGAGGAGGGACCAGGCGAGTGCCTATTTTCGGTCAGGCAGTCACCTTCATGTGGGTATTTGTGCCAGCTGTTGTATCACCTTCACAGCAGCTGAGCACCTCGTGGGCACACCCACCTGACCCCATGTATTACCATACAGCAACAACCCCGCAAAACTACACCGAAAATGCAGGCGACGAGTCACAATACCGTGGCTACAGTAAGTTGACCAGACCACACACTAGAAGGTGAAGGGACGACGACGTTTCGGTCCGTCCTGGACCATTCTCAAGTCGATTGTGCAACGAAAATATCCAGAGAAACCGTGATGAGGATTCGAACCTATACGCAGGATGTTCGTAGACACGTGCTCTCTTGCAGATTCTCATATTTACATTAACCAAGCCACTACCACTGCACCTACACCGTCGTAGCAGTTCACTGTTGCATCATCACAGTCTTCCCTCTCACTGTAGGACACAGGAGCCTCCGCCTCGTCCCAACCAACCCACGCTACTCGCTCCATCACACCAAAATACCTAACCCTGATTTAGGGCTGGTGTAAAACACACACAAACTGCGTTCACGTGGTCCCACTGAGAGGCCCTAATATCCCCCCACCCACCCTCCACCCTCCGGGTACAACACGAGGCCACTCGGGGGTACAAATGGGACACTACAGGAGACTAAATGACCCCCTGTCAGACAGGTTACCTTGAGGTTACCTTGAGATAGTTTCGGGGGCTTAGCGTCCCCGCGGCCCGGTCCTCGCTGGTACACTAGACTAGTTAGGTGCTATATGCACCAGAATTTTCACGCCTATTTCTTACCCATTTGGTTACCCCTTTTTACAGTATAGTGGGGACGCAATACCCTTTGCAGGCATTGATCATAATATTGGTGTTCAACCAATGATGTTTGGCTTTAATGATGCAATCTAACCTGTGTCATTTTGTCCAGTGTCATTTTGTCCAGTGCCATTTTGTCCAGTGCCATTTTGTCCAGTGCCATTTTGTCCAGTGTCATTTTGTCCAGTGTCATTTTGTCATTTTGTCCAGTGCCATTTTGTCCAGTGTCATTTTGTCCAGTGTCATTTTGTCCAGTGTCATTTTGTCATTTTGTCCAGTGTCATTTTGTCATTTTGTCCAGTGTCATTTTGTCATTTTGTCCAGTGTCATTTTGTTGCTAGTTATTTGTGGGGTGAATCATGACCTGCCACAACCCCAGTAGTTCTCCGACTTGTGGCTGTCGCTTCCTCCTCCTCTTGCTTGTTTTAGATTCAGCTACTGGGAACAAAAAACTCAAAGTAGGACGGGTTATGGCGAG